GAGGAAACATTTCCTCCATGCTTCCAAGTGAAGCCAGCCATGGTCGAGTAGGACCTTTGACTTATTTTCACATAGACAGAACTGGTAAAAGAAAGGAGCTGGGGGCTCCTCCCAAGCCCATGTGACCCCTGAGGAACAGATCCTCAAACGAACATAAGAGTAAAAATAAATTGGTTTATCTGGGCCAACTGTAGGGTCTTAAATACCCAAAAGGAAAGTATAACCAAAGATTAATAGGGCCAATATAATTTTTAAGAGTCCATATGTATAGCTAAAGGCTCTATAACAAGGAGGGGTGGGGGGGCTTTCGACTTACCCAGGAGAGAGAGGCCTGCGGGTGGGAGAGAGGCCTGTGGGTTGTGCAGGCCCAGGGAAGCAGAGCGATCTTTTGATTAAATAATAACTAGACAGGTATGTAAATTGATAGAATGGGGAAGCAAGTGTCCTAGGAAAACACACAAGTAGCTAGTGAGTTGGAGACTGAGTTACACTAAAGATGTCAGAGTGTCACAGGTTGGATTTCCAAATCATCCGCAGCCAACAATAATGGCAGAAATTCGGAAATAGCCAAAGAAAACTTAGGCTATGAAATTGGAGTTATATTTTGTTTGGTTGTGTTGATGAGATTATTGCCTTTATTAACACCACTTTTTATATTATATAAAATTCTGCCAAAGCATTTAGTTGCTTGGTCAAATAACTTTCGTTGTTACTTCCTTTTAATAAACTTTAATTTTATCAGCTTTAAGCACATGAACTGTTTTTATTTTTCTTATCTCATTTTAGAATATATCATTTTAAAACATTTTATGGTCTTTGAGTTCTAAACATATGTTGTGGATATTCAGTGCCTTTTTCTTTGGTTATACCGATTTGAGGCCTGATCTGTGTATACAATTGAATTATTGTCAATATTTTATTTTTTAAAATGTTTTATTTTTTATTTTATGTGTTTGGGTATATTGCCTGTATGTATGTAAGTGCACCCATGTAGTGCAGTGCCCAAGGAGGTCAGAAGAGGGGGTTGGATTCCCTGGAACTGGAGTTACGGACAGTTGTTAGTCACCATGTGGATGCTGGGAACCAAACCTAGGTCCTCTGCAAGAGCAGTATGTGCACTTAACCACTGAGCCATCTCTTCAGCCTCTCAATCTTTTACTTTAATTTAAAGAGAAATAGCCTTTTAATTTAAATGTAAATTTTGAGAGTTCATTGAAATAAAAACTGAAAACATTGACAGTCCCTGTCTATATCTTGAAAGTTATGAGGCCAGCAATTTGGATTTTGTGTTCATTTTGATATTAAATAAGTACTATGGAATCTTATTCAAATTAAATAGAACTAATTTTAATGGTTTCCTCACTAAACCGTAGCTGAGCACTCCTCAGAATTCTTTAGGGATGTTTTAAGTCATCTTTAAATGTGAACTTCTTGCTTACTTAAATGGAAAGCATTGACACATACAAATAGCATTAGTGTCTATCCCTGTGGGCTAATAATATAGTAGAAATTAGGGGTGAGGAGCATATGAGAATAGTAAATTGGTATTTGTCTTTGAAGTACCTTAAATGGAGCTACATCCTGAGTTTTATATGTGTTGTTTGACTAAAGTAATATTTCCAACATAGTTTCAATCCCTCAACCAAAAGATATTTTGACCTCATTGTCTTTTAATGATACTTGAAAGCAGCTCTTGCCTAGCCCCTCTTTTTTTACTGAAGATAAAAGTTGCTTATAGTTGATGTCATGTTAGAACGTAGGATCTTTATCTTTCTTTTGGGGGTGGAGGGTGCTGGTAATGTACTGAAGATCCTGGCATCTGATTTTCCTTTTTCCACATTCACTTTTATTTTCTCTTGCACAGGACATTTGCTTAGACTTAAGGGCATTTGTTTGTAGGGTAGGTCTAAGATGAAGTTAAGGAATCTTTCGTAACATTTAGATCTATCTTGAAACAAATCTTTTTGAAAATCTCATACCTATGCACAATATATATTGGTCATATCCATCTCTCTCCCTCCAGCCTCCCCTTCCACCAGCATATCTCCCATCTCCCTCTTAACTTCATGCTTTTTTTTTTTTTTTTTTTTTTTTTTTTTTTTTTTTTTTTTTTTTTTTTTTTTTTTTTTTTTTTTTTTTTTTTTTTTTTTTTGGTCTTTTTGAGACAAGCTCTCCCTGTAGCTGCAGCTGGCCTGTATTCACTAATGGAGACCAGGCTGGCCTCGAACTCACAGAGATCCACCGAGTGTGCCACCACACCTGGCCATACTTTTTTTTTTAATAACCCACTAAGTCCAGTTAGTGCTGCTTCATATGTGCATGTGTGAGGGGCCATCCATTGGAGCAAGGGCAACCTACCAATGCCCTCCTCCCCTGTTAAAGGTAACTTTGCCTCCCTTATCAGCTCTCAGCTGCCATCAGCTAGGGGTGGGGCATCAGAAGCCCTTTCCTCCATCCATGCTGGAATTTTTTCTTTTTGAATCTTTATGTCAGTTTTATTAGAATTTAAGGAAACAGCTTCAGGACAGGCAAGCCATAAATCTCAGTAGCTGCCTTGAGGGGAATGGAGGGGAAAAGTAAAAAGATATAGAGCCATTCTGGTTTAAAGCATGCACGGAAGTCAGATGGACTAGCAGTCACAGGGCAGGAATGGGAGGGAGTTGTAGAGAAAAGGGTAAAGAAACCCAAAACGTAGGGGCAGCCCAAAGCCTTAGGGAAAGCATGGCTAGAAAAGAGGGATAAAGGGGGCTGGAAAGTTCATCAGTGGTTAAGAGCACCGGCTGCTCTTGCAGGGGATCCAGGTTTAGTTCCCAGCACACACATTGTGGCTAACAACCATCTGTAACTCCAGTTCTAGGGGAATCTGATGCCATTTTCTGACCTCTGCAGTCATTGTACAACATGGGTGCACTTACATACTGTTAGATAATACACTCATACACATAAAATAAAAACAATAAAATTTTATTTTAGAAAAGAGGGATGAAGAAAAGGAGATATGCTTTTCTGAACAATTCAGAAAAGCAAGCTAAACTTATGGAGAGCTACTTCTGCTTGTGACTCAAGATTCATGAGGACTGCCTCTGGAATTTTTAGCTATCTTGATCTTGATCATGAAATTCTTAATTTGGAAGAGTTTGAGAATTCTGTTCATTTTACTTTCCCACCTTCATTCTTTATAAAAAAAGAAACCTTGTCAATGTCGTAAAATATCGTGAATAAACTACATGCACACTTTGTATTTTATTTGTTGTTTTATAGACTTTAAAGGAGTTACAATGGAAAAGTTGTAATATCCACAGTCTGAATATACTGCATATAGGTCTCCTTTTTGTTTTTGTTTATTCAAATTAACACCTTTCCCTTCAGTTAATGCTTCTGTATTTTTGCATTGTGACAGATGTGAAAAGCTGTTGTATTGATCATCTTCTATTCTAAAAGCTCTTTTTAAATATGAAGTTGTTCTAAACTGAGTTTTACCTTTCCTTTACACAGGCACAGATTGCCTTCCTCCAAGGGGAAAGGAAAGGCCAAGAAAATCTGAAGAAAGATCTTGTGAGGAGGATCAAAATGTTGGAATATGCTCTTAAACAGGAAAGGTAATTTAGTAAAATTGTATTCTCTTAAATAATACTTTTTCTACATTCCTAATAAAATATTTTAATAACCATGTGCTCTTGAACTTGAGTATCAAATAAACTCTGTAAGTATGGTTGCAACATATAGTATGCAACTTATAAAACTTGCTAGATTAGACTATCCATTCCTTCTCTTTGTCTTTTTTTTTTTTTTCTTTTTTTAAAGATAGGGTCTCATGCAACTTAGGCTGGCCTCAGATTCACTATGTAGCCAAGGCTGGCCTTGAACTTCTGATCCTTCTGCCTCCGCCTCCAAAATGCTGGGGTTACAGGCATGTGTCATTATGCCCTGACTCATCCATTTCTTTCTTTGTTTTAATGTAGCTTTTTGTTTCATGGTACTGGGGATTGAACCCAGGATCATGAGCATGCTAGATAAGCCCTCTACCTCTGAGCTATATGCTCAGTACTCAGCCATTTCCTTATAGAGTGCAACAAGCTTTTAATTGTAAAAGAAATTTGTATAATGCACCTCCCTTTTGCCCTAATTCAATATTTAGTTAGATGTAGTTTCTTAACATTGCTCTGACTCCACTCCATTTCTTCTAGATTCTTGTTCTTGTTCCTTTGCTGTCAGCTTTTTCTCTTTCTCCAGAGGGCAATCTTGCTTAGTTTTTAAGATACTCAAATAAGTACATTTGGGTCATAAGTAAAGGAAAATAAGTTATATATGAGAGGTTTGGAAATTATGTGAGTTGAGTTGAGGTTCTTTAGTGGTTAGCATTTAGATGTTTTTTGTCAGCAGTCTTGAAGTGCTTCATTGTTTTCAGTAATCTCAACATTTTGATGCCTGATATTGGAATCTTGGAATTCTCTATTTTTGGTACTTTTTGATTTGTTTTTGATATTTTTTTTTAAAGTTGGCAAATGAACTGTTGTAAAACTGCTATAAAATAGTATTTAGTAGATGATATTTTTAAATGTGAAGAAATAGGTACACAAGAAATTCTTCCCATTGGTAAAAAAATTTGTTTATTTTCATGCCTTGAAAAATTGATTGAGGGGTTGGGGAGATGGCTCAGCAGTTAAGAACACTGGTTGTTCTTGCAGAAGACCTGGGTTTGAATCCCAGCGCCCCCATGGCAGCTAATAGCTGTCCATAACTCCATCCAGTCCTAGGGGATCCGACAGCCTTTTCTGACCTCTGTGGGTATTGCATGACATGGGTGCACTTACCTACATGCAGGCAATACACACATACACATAAAATAAAAATAATAAATAAAATGTGGCAGAGGCAGGCAGATCTCTGTGAGTTCAAGGCCAGCCTGGTCTACATAGTGAGTTCCAGGACAGCTGGGGCTACAGGGAGACCCTGTCTCAAAAAGACCAACAAAAAAAAAAAAAAAAAAAAAATTGAAAAAAGAAAAGTTGATTGAAAGCAGTATTATAGAGATGGAAAGAAAAACCAGTTCTTAAAGTATGTAATTTGTGAATACTTGATATCTCAAACTGTTGTGTGGTTTGTTTGTTTGTTTAAAGACAGGATCTCACTATGTAGCCCTGACTGATCTGGAACTTGCTATGTAAACTAGGCTGGCCTTAATGAACTCAAAAAGGATCCATCTGCCTCTGCCTCCCAGGTGCTCAGATTAAAGGCTTTCAAATTATTTTTAACTGTAGGCTTAAGGGGGGGGAGGGAGGGAGATGGGGAGACAGTAGCAGAAGTAATAACTGTTTTGAGTATGTACTGTATGCCATTGCCCCCCCTGCCCCAGGCTTAAACTAAATAATTGTACTAGAGTTTTGGGTCAAATCTCTCAAACCTATTTGAATCTAAAGCCTGTGCTCTTTACCAGTTTATTAGGCTATCTGTAAGATAAAACTGAAATACACAAATACTAAAATAATGAAATTTGAAATTCGTGTGTATGTGTATGTGTGTGTGTGTACACATGTATCTAGACTTAGAAACCACAGAAATACAGGGAGGTGATAGGTGATGTGCTAGAAGTATATACATGATATGCAGTGGGGTCACAAAGAAGGAAGCAGAAGTATTATCTGGAAAATGGAAGCAGAAATGAGGGGGCAGTTAGAGAGGTGAAGCCCAAGCATTGTGACAGTTGAGAAGGTGCCTTCCCAGTTCAGGCAGGTGTAGATAATAGAGAACACATTTGAGTCAGCAGCATGTTCAGAAGTTTGTAATCAATGGGTATGAAGAGTCAAATGCTAGTTATTATTTGATGACCAAACATGGTAGATAAATGCAAGAGTCAGATTGTAGAGAGTCTGCTTAAGGACTTCAAACTTTTATCATAAATATGGTAAGGAACATGGAAAATTTTCAAAAACAATTTTTTTTTGGTCTTTTTGAGACAGGATCTCCCTGTAGCCCCAGCTGTCCTGGAACTCACTATGTAGACCAGGCTGGCCTTGAACTCACAGAGATCCACCTGCCTCTGCTGGGATTAAATCTTGAACTAATTGAAGAATAGTTGCAAGAACTCTTTTATGTCCTTTACTCATCCCCAGATTTACCAGCGTACACATTTATCTTTGCTTTATTTTGCCCACCCTCTATGTGCATATTATTTTTTACCTAAATTTATTTGCTTAATTCTTCCATTAAATAGCTCAAGCTATATTTGTTTTTACTATTTTTTTCTTCTTTATTAATTTCTAAGAGCTGAGATCTTCTCTCATGTAACCACTGTATATCGTTAAGGAAATTTAACATTTGTATACTTCTGTTACTTGTTCAGATGTTCCATTAGTAATCTTTATAGCCATTCCCCTCATCCCCACCCCATCTTGGGGCCAGTCTGGGATCATGATGCTACTGAAAGGTTTTAAGTATGAAATAATATGAAATAAGGTCTCCCTGGGAACTCTCTTGGAAAGATCTGTTTATGGGGGCTGGAAAGTTATCATAAATGAGAAATGATAAGCATAGTAACTGCAGTTATAAGAGATATAAAACATTTTAAATAAAAAGAATCTAAAATTTGGAGACATAAATATGAGAAGATGTTATGCTAAGAGAGCGAGGAAGAGAGAATAGTCAAGAGTGACTCCCAGGTTTCTGTTATGGGAGGGAGGGAGTCAGTGGAACAATTAAAGAATGAGGGTGAGGGCTGGAGCGATGGTGAAGAGCACTGGCTGCTCTTGGAGGGGACTGGGGTTTGATTCCCAGCACCCACATGGGGGCTAACAACCTTTGTAACTCCAGTTCCAGGAGAATCCAGTGCCGCCTTCTCACCTCCGTGAGTATTGCACGACACAGGTTTTCTTACATACTTGCAGGTAGTACACTAATACACATAAAATAAAAATAATAAATAAATAAATATATATGTGTATATAAATAAAAGAATGAGTGTGAAAGTACAGTTATGGGATTGACCCTGAGACATACCATAGAAAGAAAACGCACAGGAGTCATGGGAAACAGAAATGTTTGAGGTAAAGGATAAGGAAAAAAGACGAAAAAGTAGTAGTTTGAGAAGGAAGAAGAGAACAGCATTTTGGAAGAGGAACAGGAAGGAGTTAGAGAACTGCAGAGCCCAAAGCAGTCTCCAGGCAGGTTGTGAACTGAAAGTGGTCCTGGGGATTCACCAGCTGGCGTCCTGTTGATGTCCTTTCCTGGGCAGCTTTCTTGAGGTAGCATGAACAGGAGCTAGATCATAGGGATGAAGCAGTGAGAAGGGGAAAGTGGAGGCAGCTGGAGTTGCTTACTGCTTCCAGGTGGTTCATAAACAGAAGAGATGAAGGCTAAGTCTAGGGAAGAAATGAATGAGCGTTTCCTTAAACTAAAACCCCTGACATTCTTATGGTATTTGTGTGATGATTTAGGGTGATTTCTGATCCAGTGACCCTTTTTTGTTGGTTTTGTTTGGTTTGGTTAATTATTTTTCCTTGAGCAGTGTCTCAATATGTAGCACAGGCTGGCCTCAAATTCACATTTTTCTGCCTTAGTCTCCTGGGTGCTAGGATTACAGACAAGCCTCACCATACACCCATACACAGCTGCAATGACATTTGAGTTCTTTTCAGTCCAGTGTTACTTTTCTTTTTTCTTTCTTTTTTTTTGTCTTTTTGACACAGGGTCTCTGTAAAGTCACAGCTGGCCTGGAACTTGCTATGTAGACCAGGCTGGCCTTGATCTCTCAGAAATCTACCTGCTTTTGCTTCCTGAGTGCTGGGATTGAAGGCATGCACCTCCACCCCTGACTTATTTTCTAATATTTTAATGCTAGGGCTTACAGCTATGTTTTGGAACTCTAGAGCATTACAGTGCTTTTTATACTGAAATTATTTTTTAATCCTAGGAATTAAAAACATGGATTGAGGAAATTTGAAATACAAAGGTGGATAGTAACTTAAAAATTTGTGTGTGTGCGTGTGTGTGTGTGTGTGTGTGTCTTCATATGTGTGACTTATGGGCATGGGGCTGTGTTGGTGTTTGTGTGCTGTGGCATGTGTGGAGGTCAGAGAAACTGTTGTGTTTGAGACAAGCTCTGGCTCCTAAAATCAGTGTTTACTGACTTAATAAATTTGCTAAAACTATTTCAGTAGCGTAATCTTCCTCAGCCTTAGAAATGTCCTTTGGAAGTGAATGCACTAAAATGCTGCTTTTTCACTCATAGTTTTCCATTGTTTTGACACTGTATGTCACTGTTAACAGTCTTTCTTGTTCATTACTCTTTCTGTATCATTCTTAACTATAGGCTGATGAGCAGATCTAAATAGATCTCACGTTTCATTCATACCTATGCTCCCCACTCCTAATTGGCCCTACTAGATAAAATAACATTAAAAATGCTTAATAATTATAATAGACTAAAGAAGTCTTATTCCAGCTTTGTTTCAAAGCCTATCTCATATGCTGTCTTGGTTGAAATTTTTGTGAAATGTTTCTAATGTGAATATATTTTAAATATATAAATATATGTTAAATATATCAAATATATCTTATTTAATGTTTTCTATTTC